TGTTGTTGTGTGTCGTTTTCACAAAAAAAGTTGTTATTTTCGATGTGGGTACTCAATTTTCTGTGATAGGCCCCATTGAAAATAATCTTGCTCCTACCTTTTCATCAAACGATACTATAACCATGCGAAAGAATTTCGAATCCCTCTGGTGTACCAACAGGACGAAGAAAAATCCTTGAAAATGTTTAGTTTTGACCAAATGCTATTAAGTTGTTCTTCGAAGCTCTTTCGACAAGCAAAATAAAAAAGCTGCATCTTTTACTTAAAACTGTATTTATTATGATACTTTAAAAAATCGACGGAGCCCTGTGATATTTTTCCACTTAGATGAAAGTCATTGAAATGAATGAATAATTTTTAATTTTTTTCTGACACTAAACAATGAAATTTTGAAGTAACCTTTTTAGTATTAAGAAATTAGATCACAAACGCTTTTCATTTTGACAAACCTGTGGCTACTTTTCCCATCGATATTTTGTACCATTTTAGGCTTAGTATGTTAAAGAGGCACAAGACTTAACATGGTAATCATAAATAATTGTTACAAACTGGCAAAACTAAAAAAAAAAATTAAAAAAAGTTAAACTTGATAAATAAAAATACAATATATTTGAAAAATAGCTCAAGTTCATATGATGCAAGGTAATAGGAGCTCACAAAAGGCAAAAGTCACTTTTCATATTACAATAATTTTTCAATTTTACAAGGATATTTAAGACTGTTTTTCAAAGTGCGTCATAATATAAAGTAACTCTTTTTAGCGAAAAATGTACCATTTATGAAACCGTTTGTAACGGTAATTCCTGATCACTAGCAATTTTTTGTCAATCTTTAACAGCTCCATCAATGCTAATTTTGAAAATGGCACAAAACGTCAGTATAAAGTTAAGAAACAGCTTGGGAAATTGAAAAAGCATTTGTGATCTAATTTATCAATATTTAAAACGCTACTCCAATGTTATATTATCTGAGCACATAAAAATAGTAAAAATTTAAGAATTATTCATTGATTTTAATAAATTTCCTCTACACTGAAAATAATTTCGGATCAAATTACGCAATTAACTAAAGTCATTTCATGTACATCATCTTCAAATCATTTTTACCGTATCCATTTTTACTGTAAAATATTAAACCGTAATTTTTACAGTAATATTTATTTAATTAGAGTGATTCCGTGATTTTCCGGTAATTATTACTGTAAAAATTGCTGTGAATCAGATATTTTTTTCCAGATATTTTGTTGCGGTAAAAATAATTTTACTGTTAAAAGTAGAGGCAACCTGAGTCCCTGTACATTTCAACGTAATTTGATCCAGCATGTTTTAGAGGGTAGGAAGGAGGAAAATCTTCCCAAATAGGCAATTTTAAAAATTTTTGTTTAAAATATTTAAGTTGTTTTTTCCATTATAAAGTCCAAATAATTCTTTAGGGCGAGATAATATTTACTAATGAAAATTACAGCTTTGGCTTAAGTGCTCGGCACTTAAAATCTGGCTTTTTTTACTTCGTTTACCGAAAGAGCTTCGAAAAATAAAACTTAAAAAGAAGATGTGAATTTAAATTCTGCATAACTTTACACTCCATTCCCTCTGTTTGAACTCTGTTAATGCATTATTTTTACTATGTAACTATTATTTTTATCTTGAAGAAACTCACATTCGAAAGTTATTTCTTTAACAACACTCCAAATTTAAATTTCCGAGAATAAAACAACAAATTCGGATGGTTATTTGAATAAAAATGTAAACATAACTTTACGAACGAATCCCCTCTATAACTCAAATTTTTATTTCCCTTCGCTTATCGAAAGCAAGCTCGAATGGTTCTGTACAAGTAGGGAGAGAATGACGCCCATCACCCAGTTAGACAGGATCGTCGATCCATAGTTCTTCCATTAAACGAATCATTCGGATGGCCGGACTATCCGGCCCCAAGAGAGGGGCAGGAGGTCGACGCTCCGCTGACCTCGGACATCCGATGCCTGACATCAACCGATTCATTTGACATTTTAATGCCTCTTAGTTACTGGAGGTGAGAAACTTGTTTTACGCCAAGACAATATGCATTAGCTATCAGAGAAAAATAGAAGCTGAAAAGCAAAATAGTCCATTCCTATGAAATTCTAGCATTCTGTTTAATTTAAAAAACAATATTATATATTTGAATAAAATAAAATTTGATTACTAAATATATGGTCTTTATATTGTTTACTTACTATGAAATTTGATTGAACTCAAATAAGCCATAATATTTTGAAATTTTTGCAGATTTTGCAATAGTTTGTAAATTGTCGAAACTCGACTTGAACTAAGAGACTTGGGATTTTGTTTTATTTGAAAAACAATGAGCTATATTTGAAAAAAATGAAATTCGATAGCTAAATAGATGTTCTTGGCATTGTTTTTTTACTACGAAATTTTACTGAACTCAATATGAATTATAATATTTTGAAATTTTTGCAGATTTTGCAACTGCTCGTAAATTGTCAAAACTTGACTTAAGCTAAGAGACTTCGGATTTTTTTTTTTTTTTTTTTTTTTTTTTTTTTTTTTTTTTTNTTTTTTTTTTTTTTTTTTGAAAAGCAATATGTTATATTCGAATAAAATGAAATTTGATAACTAAATATATATTCCTCATATTTTTTTTCACTATGAAAGATTGAACTTAATATGAACTGTAACAATTTGAAATTTTCGCAAATTTCGTATGCATTAGAACGATTCATAAATTTCAGTAACTTGACTTGTACACAGAGACTTCAGATTTTGTTTTATTTGAAAAACAATATGCCATGTTTGAATAAAATGAAAATTCAGTAACTAAATATATGTTCCTTATAATGTTTTTTCAATAAGAAAAACTTAATATGAACGATATCATTTTGAAATTTTTGCAGATTTGGCCTGAATTAGAACTGTTTATAAATTGTAAAAACTTGACTAATACTTGAACAAAGAGACTTTTAAATTTTATGTAATAATGAATTAAAATAGTTTGAAATTTGTGTAAAATCATGAACAATAATGTTCTGAAATTTCTGAATTTCAACAAGACTAAATAAAATTACTTACATTAGTACACTTACTAATTATTATCTTTTTAATTTAAACTATTTTTTAGCTTAAATTTATAAGATAAATTATAAAATTTAAAAGTTTGTTGGTAAAAATGAAATAGCAATCATGAGTAAATAAGAAATGCTAAAAGTGACTGATTGATAAAGGGTTTTATGCATATTATGTTACGTAAATTATCTAAAATAATATTAAATTATCTAAAATAACAGAATATCTACTCAATAATAATTTCAAAATTTTTTTTTGCAAATTTCATAGATTTACTACTTTACAATTATAAGTAAAGAATAATAGAAGTAAAGAATTGATAAAATTCGAACAAAAATATTTAAAAGAAAAATTTTTTTGCTTTATTTAAGAAATATTTTTAGAAGATAGATATATGGCCATATGCAGAAATAGCACAGCAACAAAATGATATTACTTTATAGAGAGGAAGACATCCACTTTTAAAAAAAGTAATTAAATAACGGTTTTAACTGTTAACATCCTTTTAGTAATTAATTAACGGTCCAGCTGAGGGACCCTCGAGCTTCCAAAACACTTCAGTCATAACGCCAGGAATTTTAAATTAAAAGTGTCTGAATTTTTCCCAACGGACACTTAACGCATGGGAAAAATCCATTTTTGGCGATTTATCGAAAGATCAAATAGCCCATAACAAAGCCAACCCCACGTTATTAATATTAAATTTTAAATAATGTAGCTATAGCTTAATCCCCAAAAAGACCATGAAAATTAATATAACTCTGTAACTGAAACATTTTTGTGGTAAGAGAAATAAAGTAGATAAAGGATGTAGATTTTTATGTTCGATTTAGTCACGACAGTGAATTAATGAGTCATAATTTTTTTTTTTTAATTAAAAAGTTAGCTGTTGATTGTTAAGAAGAGAATAAAATATTTACGAAGATGCCCTATACTACGAAGATGGTTTTAACATCCAGTCACAATTAAGTGAATGATAATTTCGAAACTAGTTGCGCTAGTTAATATTTGAAATTAGTTATTCTCAACTTATATTTTTATTTTCTTCTTCTTTAAAATACCTCGACTTATCAAAGTGAACTAATGAACGATCAGATTTTTTTATGCAAGTTACTATGTGAGATGTTTGGTTTAAATGGAAAGGACTGGATGTTACATTGAGCGGAAGATAGCCTACAATGGTCCATGAATTCCAGTAGGCAATGTCTTGGTCCTCTTTGGAGTTTTAACTCTTCTAAGACATTCCTTTGGCATCATTTGATTGTAAATTGTATCCTCTTTGGTTCGGTGAAATCTTAATTGCTTAAAACGGTTTTTTCTCTTACCTTTTGGGTGCTAATTACGTTTTTGTTCTTTTCCTATTCTCGAAAATTATCCACTATTTTTAAACCAATGAGTTGATCTCAGAGGGCCTCTTTGGCTTCCTGAACGCCATACCTTACGCTTCTTAAATTTTTTAGAAACTCGTCTATTTTTTGCCGTTAAGCTTCAAGATACTTGTAAAGATGAGCTTTTATGTGTTTTGGGGTTCTGCGTGAAGTTTTCATGGTTTTTCGATGATTGTATTTTGGAATATTTTTGAGTTTTGGAAATGGGGTTCTGATGCTTTTAGTACCCTTCTCCTTATATTTATGAAAATCGGTTTTAATTTTAAATTTAGTTTTATTTTGAATAACTTCAATTCCGTTGATGAAGTCGTTGTTACAATCTGAGTCAAGAAATAGTGTCCGTTCACTCATTGTAGTATGTGCAAGTAGGATTTATCGAAGCTATTAATGAGCAAAATTGTATTTATAAGATAATAGCTATAACATAACACAAAATACATATTTACTCCGAACAATTATAACATAAATTACTCCCTTATTCATCAAATAATTTCAAAGATTCTAGTGCATCATTGCTTTTAAATATGTTTTTTTTTTCTCTAATTTAATGTAAATATGAAAGAATTTCAAACTTTGACAAATCACTTTCGTTATTTTTACTTTGCAACAGCTTTGGCCGTTTGGTCACCTCTTTCGCGTTGTGATTTGTGTTACCCTTAGGTGTACGTTCTGAACTCTCGCAAATCGATTCATTTAAAGTCAACAAGTTGCTAATAGTTTGTCGAATATCGAGATTACTGATGTGGGGTGATCCCAATGGATTTCTATCCAAATAAAGCAGCATCTCTTTCAATTTTTCATTGGAATAAGCCATAGACATTGAATGATTTTGTACGCTTTCCGAATGCGAAGCTTCATTTTGGGACTGCACGAGATCAAGGACACAATGCGATGCATCACTGCTAGAGCTTCTTGGTTTCATCATTTCGGTACATTGTTTATTTTTATCTATCCGAGTGGCTTCCGGGTATGGTTTTTTACGTAGGATATTTTCCTTTTGTTGCCTCATTTTAAAATTTCCGTGAAGTTCCTGTAATTTCTTACCAGGGTTTGTATTTGGCTTGTGTTTGAAATCACTGCTTTTATCATTGACTGAGTTAAATTTGCTGGAATTATTTAATTTCCCCGTACTTACAGTTTCATGATTCATTGAAAAACGATTGTGTATGTCCTGATTGGTCTGAATTGATTTTCGATTCAGTGATCTGTTCCTATCAACAGAGCTAAGTTCATTTTCGGAATTGTTTTCAAAACCCGAAGCAAACTCAGATTTGTTCAGAGACTCGTGTTTATTGACTACACATGAAGATTTGTTTCTCTTTTTCTTCATACGAACTTTTCCAACTGAATAAACGCAAACAACTAAAAATACTAGCACCGTCAGAACAGCAAAGCCAGATAAAGACCCAATAAAGTAAGGACTTTTCCAAAAGTCAGAATTCTTCGATTGAGGTTGGACACTTTCTTTCAAGTCATCTAATTTCTCTGAAAAAACATCGTGTTTTTCCCTGCTTTCTACTTTGTTAACATTCTGCATGTATTGATTGTGGTTTGCTTCTAAAATGGGTTTATTTTCACTTTTATCTTTAATGTGTTTTTCCATTTCTTTAAAACTCTTTATCTCATTAGGAAAAACTAATGAGTTATTGGATTCTTTCCTGCCCTTTATTGCATAAGATGATTTTTGATTTAAATAGAAAGGATGGGATGTTAAATTAGGGGAATGATAATTTATAGTGGACTTTTCAGGATAGTCTATAGTTGAAACTATTTTATCGCCACTTGGATTTTGATTTTCTTGTTCCTTAAAATTCTTCGACTTATCAGAGTAAACTAATGAGCCATTGGATTTTTTTGTTCCTGTTACTGTATGAGATGTTTGGTTTAAAAGAAAAGGACTGGATTGCCCACGAATTGCAGAAAGCAATGCCTTGGTCCCCTCTCCTCTTTTTTGAGCTTTAACTCTTCTTTTAGGAAATTGTTTTGGCATTATTTGATTGTAAATTTTATCTTTTCTGGGTCGGTTAAATCTTAATTGCTTAAAGCGGTTTTTTCTCATACCTCTTGGGTGCCAAAGACGTCTTTGTTCTTTTTCCATTTTTGAAAACTGTCCATGATTTCTTGATGAATCAGTTGCTCTCAGAGGACCTCTTCGCTTTCCAGAAGGCCATAATTTATGCTTCTTAAATTCCTTAGAAAGTCGTCTGTTTATTTTCTGGGAAGCTTCAATATGCTTGTCAAGATTAGCTATCATGAGATTTTGGGTCCTGGGTGAAATTTTAATGGTTTTTCGAAAATTATGCTTTTGAATACTTTTGAGTTTTGGAAGTGGTGTTCTGATGCTTTCAGCCTCTTTCCTCTTATATTTATGAGAGCCGGTTTTCGTTTTGAATTCAGTTTCATTTTGAATAACTCCATTTACGTTATCCGTTGATGAAGTCGTTGTTTCAATCTGAGTTGGAAAATGGCGTCTGAGGATCTCGTACACTCGTGCCATTCTTTCAAATAATTCTTCTTCATAATTCTTGGTGTAGGTGTTCCCGAACGCCTGTTTTTAAAACGAGAAACAATTATAGAAATCAGCGTCTGGATATCTGAATCTTTTTTATTATTAACACTAGATTGCCTAACGAAGTCATTTTGACTGCTTTTAATTTCAATTAGAAAAACAATGATGTATATAATGACACAATTTCTTAGAATTTTGTGACTTTTTGTACAGCATATAATTTTTTTTATTGTTAATATTTGCTAATAACTTGTTATATGACTGTAAATATTATAAAAAATTTTAAAAATTAACTTTAAACAAATTTATTTACGCATTCACAATCCAGTCATTTTGACTGCTTTTCGGCAATATAGGTATATACTAATTTTCCGTCTTTCTAGTGTTAAATAAAATTTTCTAACTACGTATTTTCAGACAATTCCAAAATAATAAAAAATAAGAAATAAAAAATTGAGATTAAACGAGTAAGAAAAGATTATAAAAATTGAGAGTAAATTCAAAGAACAGGTCATTAATAATGTAAATTAAAATAGTAAATAATATTAAAATTCATGAGTTATCATAACAAGCTTTGCAAAATATTTATAAGACTCAAATCAATTTTTCTATTTTTATTTCGACAAGTAATTAAAATAGCTTCATAATTTATGCATTTTCAGTCGTAGGCCAGAGAAATTTATTCACATACTCTAAGTTATAATATTTCCACTCTAATATCTAATGTCTACTATGATATCTAATATCTAACTTATATATATACTCTAAGTTATAAGAATATCTGTAAATATGCAAACATGCTGAGGGGGAAAAACGTACAAATTGCATTTATGATTTATAGAAAATTCATGACTTGAAAAAACTGTTTACCATTTGGAATGTTGATAATGACGATAGAAAAATGAGAAAAAGAATACACCTTGGAAACAGGCTTTCCATAACATTTGTTTTGATATTTATAAAAAGAAATTGATTGATTAAATGTGGCATTTAATGCTAAAAATCCCGGAAGGACATGCTGCGCTAAACCTAGTTTTTTTTTTTAATTGCCAGATTAAAAAGTTCATAAACGTAGAAATACTTGGATATGATCGCAGAAGTACTGAAAAATCATATTAGTAACAGCATAAAGCAAAAGCACGAGAGCTAAATAAAATGACTAAACGCAATTTAAAATTATATACAATTATTTCAAAATCATAATACGGAGAGATGTTTTATAAATATAATAAAATATTTATTTATATGTAAATTCTATGAGAAGAGATGAAGAGTTTTATTTTAGAATATTTTATCCCAACAACAGTGATTATAATGCGCATGCGTAGGTAAACGTACGCTATAAAAACTGTAAATACTTATCCAAATTTGAAAAGCTCTACGAATTGTGTGAATGATTACTTTATTTCAAGTTAACACCAAATAGTGGATTCTTACTCACTTCAAGGGGTGTAGTTAAATCTTAACACCGATAATTGATAAAGTTCACACCAATTTGCGGCTCATTTGGAGAAACAGGTTGTGTTTTTTGGAGCTCCGTCAATTTGGCCAATAATTATTGCATATTTAAACTATTTAAGCAAATTCTTATGCTTCATGGTGATAGGGTTCATTGTAAACGCAAAACAAATGCTTTTGGATTATTATTATAAGTTTAAAAGCGGATAATTGTACAAAATCGAGATATTGACAATATCGTGAACATGAGGGAATTAATAAATGACTATGTCAACCTTCATCTATCAAAAGGTATCTCCAGACAGAATCAAGTTAACATATCTTACATACTAGTGAATTGGTATTTAACATTTATAGAGGTAGTTACACCACAAACATGATGGTACTATGTATAGATAAATTGGTGAATGTGTCCTTGTTGTATTGAATTAAAAAATTTTGTAGGTCTGAGTGTATGTTTGATTTAAAAACAAATTTCATTAAAAAAAATATTGTATATATTCATCCTAAATTTATGATTCTTGTCTTATATAAAATCATAAGAGTAATGATTTTTGCATGTATTATTCTTACTATAATTATAAATCTTAGTGTTACTAAATAACAAGCATGGTGGTGGCTACTTTACACCAAGTAGTGCGAAAGTATATTCTAGGTGTTTCACCACATCAGGAACTCTCCTCGGTTTTGGCGTAATGAAACGCTTAGCGAAACACCACGTTGGTGTAAAGTAGTTGCCACCATTTTTGGTATTCAGATACACAAAACTTTTTTACAGTGCAGTTACTACTGGACAATTAACAGATTTAGTCCATTCACGCACATCCCATCCTCTTTACGTGAATATGTTCTGCACACTACATTTACTGCAGAACAACCTTTCTTTTTTTACAGAGTTTGTGTGAAACATCTGTACGTGAGAGAGCGGAATGTTTCATGAAAACGCTAAATCTCTCTAATATTGGTTCTCTAGAGAGCACACTTGACCGATGTGACGTCGACAAATCTTTTTTACTTTAGTTACAAATGTGAAAACAATTTTGTATTCAGTAATTTATCGAGTACATTGAAAAAAGCTACTATTTTTCCTTCATTTTCATAATTTCTTTTTTTTTGAAAAAAGGGTTTAAAATTTTGAGTATTAAAAGAAGATGTTACAAATCAATGCTAACTTAAAAAAATTCAAATCAGCCAGACACACTACTCTATATTTTTATGCTGAACCTTAATATTTCAGTTTAAAAAAGGAGAGAGAAAATAATTTTAAAATTTAATTAACGTTAGGCATATTTTAATAAAATCAATTAAATTTATTTTTAAAAAAATATTTCGTCAAATCTGCAATTTACAGACTCGTAGAAGTAATAAATAAAACCGTGATTTATGATAGGTGAAAAAAATTGTTTTTTGAGATGAAGAAAATGGTTTATGATGTATTAATATCAATTTTTAATCTCTTGAACTTATCTAGCTTCACCTCAGGGTAACTTATATTATCTGCAAAATTTTATAAATTTTATTTTTTTTTATAAAAAATGCTTGATGGATTTTAAATTTTTAATTTTTTTTATTTATAAAGGAAATAGTGCTTCCAGAAAAGGAAAGTTTCTTGTCGAACAATCGGGTACTTGCATTTCACGAAGAAGAAGAAGACCTCCCATACCCACACATGCGATCTATGACGTCAGCTCCAGCTCTGCTTCATCACCAAAATGGCGTATTAAAGTTGAGCTAAGCTTCTCTACATAAGTTAGAATGTTAATTAATGATACGTTAATTAAATACAGCTCTGTATCGCACATCGAATTTGTAGAAATATAAATCTTTCTCGTCTACTTCTTCTACTTAACTTAGATTTATTAGTTGTTTGTGTATTTTTTAGTAACCATGATATGTTTTTGTTTTGTGTATCTGGCAACTTCACATGGCTTCGAGCCTGTCTTTGTGTTAAATCTCCATCTAAATATATAGTGAAAGAATTGAAATCTTTAAAAAAGAATACGTGTGAAAGAATTTAGAATGTGTCACTAAAGAGAATTGATACTTGACGGACTTGGCTTATTCGAAATAAAATGGAAAGAGCAGTTGATATATTAAACAAACGCCACGTTTCAACAACCAATCAGGATCGAGATACCCACACTCAGTCGCTTGCAGGTGTCCCATTGGGCCACTTCTTAGTCTTATTATTGACAGTTTTGATTTTGTCTCAAAATTATAATTGAAATTTAAAATAGATTCACAAACTTTTATTTTTCATTGGCATACTATAACTAACCCATATCGAATTTCCGTTTATCAATGTTCAAATCTTCCCTGTTTTAACACTGCGCAGAAGACAAGATAAATAATGGATCAAGCATTATTACAAATTCATACACGCAGAAGATTTTTTTTGTGAAACTAGCTCGCAAATTTGTTACAGGGAAAGAAAAAAATACCAATTTTTTCTATGATTGTCCTAATGGACATTAACCCATAATCCATGATTCATTTTCTACTGAGGATATTTTCTGTCAGCAGTGCTCAAATAATAGTTTCGATTGTATTTATAACAATTGCAAACATTTGCTAATAAAGAGATATTTAATCCGTAAAGAATTTGTGAATCATAGACGCTAGGCTGAAAAATAAAAACTATTGATTCAAATCAATTGCAGGTTGGTGATTCGAATCACCGAATCAGTTCAGTGCTCCAAATTATTGAATTAGTAGCCAACTCCAAAATGCACTGCACATAAGTGCAGAATATACTTTACTAAAACGCCCAAAAAAAGGTGAATTCTTCGTTTAACAAACCATGCAATATATTTAATGGAATATATCCTTGAAACATTATTGCTATTAAGGTGAAAATATAATTATTTTTTAAATTGAGCAATAAAATAATTTAAAATAATTTTTTTTCTTCTTTTCAGGTTGAAAAAATAATTATTTTTAAACATAAAAAAATGCATATTTCCACTTTCAGAAAAAATGAATGGTGAAATTCCAATATTATTTTGCACAACCTAATATCTGAAGTTTAATTTAGACAAAATCATTTAATTTTCGCGTAAATTCTTTTGATTTAATAATCAAATTAAAAAGTAAACCGAAAAATACTTTTGAATAAATATTCAAAAGTACTTAGATATTTTAGTTCATATATTTATTTATTCTGCCACATGATCTTTACTAAATAAATCAGATCATATGACTTTACCGCTAATCAAGTAAACAAGATAAAAAAATTATCCAATTTAACACTTCTTGAAGGATAAGCTAAACGCAAAATTGACTGCTTTGATTTTAAAAATTACCAAAACTTTTTGAACGTCAAAAAACGTTATTACTTAAGGACAATTGGATTTACCACATTAATTTTCGGGGGTAAAAGCTTAACATATGATTCCTAATTTGATTTACTTTCTTCACACAACTCATAATTTATTCCTATTCCAAAGGAAATGTATGTAAATACGAACGGATATTAGAAAGAAAAAAAATTGCAGAAATATCTCACTATTGTTATTCTTCATTTCAATATCAAACCGTAGGAAAAAAAACTATTTATGTACGATTTTTCAAATTACATATTCAGTAATAATTATTAAAACAAAAGATTGGAAAGGAAAAGTGTTATTTAGAATTGCTTTCTTTCAATAAATACTTATGTATGGTGTTAAAAAATTTACATACGTCAGACAGCTTTATTAAAGATTAAAGAAACGAGAAATTTTTCAATTTTCGTTCATAAAAGAAAAATGAAAGTGTGATAAAGAGAGAAATCACAGCAAGACGTATATCAATAAAGGAAATAAATAATTTCAATGCAAATCTCTTTTTCAACTGTTTTTATTATTTCAGAATAAGAAGTGATGATTTTTATTGGCAGTCGAGGCGCTTAGTACTTACGTAGTTGTCTAGTTTGTTCTGTTAATTTCTGAGCGATTTAATTTTTTTTTCAGTCTGGATTTCTTTAACTGTTAACGGCATTATTTTAGATGGTAAACAAAAATTATTTGTCATGAATTATCAAAGACTAAGCCTGATAAGTTTAGGGTTTAGCTGACAACAGACAATAGTTTCCTAAGGGGTATGAACTGTTAGTAAGTTTTTCACAAATGAGCTTTAATGTGTTTATGAATTTTTAATAAAGAGAAAACAGAAAATAAAAGGTTTAGTAAGTTTGATGAAATACGCTTAAAAATTTTTTTGGAAAAATTGTGTTGACTATTGACGTATATTGTTTAATTTTAGTGACAGTATTAATCTACATATTCACGTGGGAGATATTAACCTTCCTTCATTAAGAACCTTCATTTCGTTATTATTGCAGAGTTCCGAAATTCTGATTTTGATTGATGTACAGTGCGCACAAAAAAAAGGACCACCCAGAATAACTTTTGATCTAATGATCGGATTTTCATGTTTTGGGACTCAATTTTAATGGTTTAAAGGGGTGACCTCAAATATGCAAATTAATAAGTGCAGATAATATTTTATGT